AAATATCCTATTACATCTCATGCTTCTAGGACACTATTCCCAACAGACAATGTTGCAACATCTTCTGTACATATCCTAGAAATAGCAGAGAAAACATATCCGATTCAGATTCTGATAATAGCAGTGATGGTGAGGATCTAACTGTTGATGTCATCCAGAAAGCTTACAAGACCATGTTCAGCCAATGGGTCAAAGTGTGCAAATTGAATAACTCCCTGCGGGAGCGAGTCGACAAGCTTGTCAAAGAGAATGAACTGTTGATAAGAGATGCTATCACTTATGAGTTTCTGGCTACTGAAAGAGAGGAGAAATTAAAAGAAACAATGGTTGAATTAGAGAACATTCAAAATGCATTGAAGATGATGAATTCCGGGACTGCCAAATTGGATCATATTCTTTCATTGGAAAAAGTAAGTGGTGATCGTCATGGCCTTGGATACACCGGTGAGGGTTCAACGTCAAAGACCGTGTTTGTTAAAGCGTCACCTGCTCCTGAGTCTCAAATTATCTCTAGTAAGAAACCTACTATCTCACCCACTCGACATAGAAGGTTTGTCCCCACATACCACTATTGCAATTTGCCTGGCCATATAAGACTGAGATGTTATAAGTATTTGAAAGCTTTGAAGAGAGGTATGCTCCTTAATCCACCGAATTTCGCAAACTCAAAGAAGACACCTAACGTGAAGATTGATGTGCAAAATAATTTTTTTAGACGCGTGTTGGTAAGGAAATCTGATTTGAAGTGTCATAGGGTTTATACTTCTTTATAAGCATGTACTAATGATTGTGGGTGTAGTAATGGTAACTGGTCTAAGTATTTGACAAGTGATAAGAGTAAGATTCAGAGAGTGTTACATTCATGGGGAGTAAGACAGAGAGAAGATTCAAAGGGAGCGAGATTCAGAGATCAATGATCTTGAAAGGTGATCTGTGAAAAAGTGTTGTACCGAGTGCTCCATTAGGTGTTGCAACATTTTCTGTGACAATAGTTTCTAGAAGATTTTGGTTTATTTTTACTTTGGCTTATTTTTATCGAAAAGGGGGAGAACAATGTATTTTTCTAATTTTTCTAGTTTTTTAATTTTTATTGTTAATAGGAACAATGTATTAGTTTTGCCAAAAAAAGGTCAAAATGGGAGATTGTTAAGACCTAAGTTGGCAATTTGTTGGTATTGGTTGAAAAAAATTCAAAAACATGTACTTTTAGCAACCGGCGTTTATGGAGAAGGTTAGAAGTGATTTTGGTTGTTTGATTGCTCTAGTTATGGAATGTTTTTGTTGGTGAAAATCAAATTTTGGAAGGAAATTTTAAAGAAAATTTGGGAGATTTGGTGCATCATGAAGATAATTATATATTTAATGAGAGAGTTATTTGAGAAAAAAATATTAGACTTTAATTGTATTTTGGATATATAAGGAATTTGATTAGAGGCTTACCTTGTATGAGTTTGGAGAAATGGATGTAGCTGTCATTTGATCATCATTACAAATAAGAGCTTTGTGATATAAAGGTGATGAGGTAGTAGAAATGGAAAGTAGAATATGATGAGAAGATGAGATATCAATCTGTGAGTTAGAATTTTCTTGAAAAGTGTTATAATACTCTTTAAAACACCACCCCAAAAAAAAAAAAAAAAAAAAAAAAAAAAAAAAAAAAAAAAAAAACTTTCAGGACTAAGTAATCACCGATTTTATTATAATAGTTCGCAACTAAACGAACAATTTAGCCCTTTTTAACTTTCTGTATACAAATGACATTGTCACTGTGAACCCAGTGAAAAACCCATTATTTTTTCGTTCGTGTCAATAAACAACTTGTTTCATTCTCTGTTGTTCATGAATATGAACTACTCGTGGTTTAATTTTGCTGTCGTACAAAAACTTGTTGCCATTGAAGCAGGAAACAAAAAATTACTACCATTGGAAATTGGTAGTAAGCATTTAAATTTTAGTTTATTATTATTATTATTGAAATAATTGGTGATATCGAACATTTTTTACTTTCCTTGGTAAAATGTTGAAGCTGTTTGCATGTATGTATTTGTTTGGTTTAGAGCTGGAGTTTTCAGAAAGAGCAGCAGTGAATCACATCAATTAGTGTTTTATTTGCATTTGCCACATTGCGGGGGAAATCCTTTGCACAAATTTTTGGTTCTTTATTGGATGTATCAACAGTCAACATTTTGTCTACAAACTAAAGAGTTTGGAAAGAGATAAATAACTGAATGCTTTTTCAAAAGGCTTAGAAATAGGAAACAACGATCACATATTTGAACATCTCAAATGTTAGTTCCAGGGTCAATTCTGGAACACTTATTACAGGTCTATCCAATAATTTGCATCTCTCTCTTTATTCTTCGTCATGGAGATTTAAGAAAATGCCAAAAAAAAAACAAATTCTACTTAGTAATATTCGCTTGTGAAAACCAAGGAAAAGCTCAGGGCTCGAAAGTCATGTTTTCAGCTTCCTTTTTAACTGAATCAAACAGGACAGAGGACAGGTATCTTTCCCCAAAGCTTGCAAAAATCACCTGCATAAACAGAGAAATAAGTTTTTTAATTATATCAGGCTAAGACAAATATTATATAGGGTTTGTCTACAGTGCTTCGCAACGATCAGACCTACACTAAACGTAACAAATACAAGTGTTGGAATATGAAATAAATATCGATAAATGTCATATTACGTCTCCAACTACTACTCATTATATGTGAGACTCGTTTTCATCATGAAGAAGTCGCCGTAGTTTTTTTTTTTTTTTTTTTTTTTTTTACAAGGCGAACCACAGGATTTTGAGAGATGAAGCTTACAACAATGAGCTTCCCAGCATTTTCTGGTCTTTTTGCTATCTTAAGTGCAGCAGTAGCAGTGGCTCCTGAAGAAATCCCTACCTGCAGCACATTAGATAGAACATTAGCTATATTTATTGTTATTATTTTTTTTTGGGTACTAAAAGAGTGGAATTCAATGTATAAGAAACAAGACACAGCTATAATATCACTATTGGGTCCTAGGAAACTTACAAGTAAACCTTCTTTCAGTGCAATTTTCTTTGCAGTTTCAATCGCTTCCTCACTTGACACCTGCAAAAGTTTCAAGATTCGATTATTTTATATCATATCTTTAAAAAAATAAAAAATCTTAACATGGCTTAGTGAAAACATCAAATGTTGGAGGTAGTTGTATAAATTTATGAAGTGGGATGGAAATTGTCATAACAATGAACAAGTAAAATTCATTCTGATATTAACAGAAACTAGTAGTTTATTGGTTTTTTATCTTTTGTTTTCTTTTAGGAGAGTTCCTTGATTTACATTATTTGATTTCATAAACATTTTAGAAAAAAGATGGAATATATAATATTAGAGGCTTACTTGAACTATTTCATCAAGGATATCTTGTTCCAAAACACCAGGGACAAATCCAGTCCCTATTCCTTGGATCTTGTGTGGACCTTGATATAAGATAAGCATCAATAAATTGATCAATTGCTTGTTGAATGCTATATATTTCAAATGCTAAATTTAATCTTAATACAAGATTGAGGGGAAATAAAAAAAAAATAAAAAAAAAGCCATTCACACTTTACAGAATGAATAACTCACCAGGCTTGCCTCCAGAAAGAACAGGACTTTCACTTGGTTCCACACCATAAAGCTAAAAGTTTCGAAGAAAAATAAATTAACAAGTTAAAAAATAAAAAATGAAAAAAAAAAAAAGAAAGAAAGAAAACTTACATAATAATATTAGTCTTTTCATACACATATTCTTCTCTAAAACAAGCCTAGAAACAATTTTTATCAAACATTTTCCGTTTTAAAGAAAATACTATATATAAGATTAGAGTGATTCTATTCACGATCTATTTTTACGGGTCCCATTGTCTCTTGAGCCCCGCAAAGTTTTTTTATAAGACTAAATAGCCGACAGGTTTTATTTGAAAGACATGGGAATTTTTGGGCGTGTCATCTCAAAGCGAGATTGTGCTTATATATGTAATTGTCTGTCCGACGATAGGTCGAAAGACAAGATCAATCATTGAAATTTCCGAATTCTTTTTGTTCCCTTGTGTTAGTTAGAGTGAAGTGAAGCACGCATGTAGGGCAGGAACGAATAAGATAACCTAGCGAGTAAACACCCCGCTATTTCAGTAATGAAAAACAGACCTTAATGTTTGGATTCATCTCTTTAAGGAACTTCCCTGCACCTGTTATAGTACCACCTGTACCAATTCCAGCAACTAGAGCATCTACTTTCCCTCCTGATCCCTTCCATATCTCTGGTCCTGTGGTTTCATAATGTACCTATACCATAACAACAACAACAAATGACCACATAAATTTTCCAAGATTCACTGAAATGTTGGTCATGTAAACAAATAGGTATATACCTTGGGGTTGGCAGGATTTTCAAACTGCTGAAGCATGTAGGCATTGGGGGTCCTAGCAAACAACTCTTCGGCCTTCTGAACGGCTCCTCTCATGCCCTTTGCGGGGTCGGTGAGGACCAACTCAGCTCCGAAAGCGCGGTGAATGATTCTTCTCTCGTGACTCATCGACGCAGGCATCGCGATTATAAGCCTGTAGCCCTTGGCCGCTGCCATGAAGGCTAATCCCACCCCAGTGTTACCACTTGTTGGCTCAACGAGGACGCTCTTTATCAAACACAGATTAACCGAGAGTTAAAAATCAAGACACAAGTACTCCTCAGCTCAAAATTATAGCAACTCCAAACACCATCACTAAATAATCAAATCAAACTACAATTTTGGGGTTGTCTCTGTTTTTTTTTTTTTTTTCCTTTCTTTCTTCTTCTGCTTAAATGCACAAAACTTTCCATCAATAATACTCATAAGTCACATCCCAGTGGTCTTTATTTGGGAGAAATTTTGTGGTAGGGTGGCAAAAAAATTTCCGGTAAACCACAATTCTAAGCCGTTAGATAACACGAGGATTACGAAAAATGTAACAATTTTACAGAAATTTATGAAAATTTGACGGTTTTAGAATTGTGCTTGCTGTTTAAAAAAAAAAAAAAAAAAAAAAAAAAAATTCTCCTTTTTCTTAACACTAAAAACTAACCTTTCCAGGTGTGATTAGGCCCTTAGCCTCTGCATCCGCAATCATACTATAACCAATCCTGAAAAGAAACTTGAATTGTTGAACTCAGCGGGTTCCAGGGATTTCCAGATAATAAACATAAAATTAAAAAAAAAAAAAAAAAATTGAACCTGTCTTTCACACTAGAGCAGGGCTCCATGGACTCTAGTTTGGCAGCAATACGTGCAACACAACCATCCACAACATTGTTGAGGTACACCAATGGGGTGTTACCAATCAACTGTAACATTATAAACCAGAATTATTTGAGTTATACACAAGTCCTTTATAGGTTTAAATAGAATAGTTTGAACAGAAATTTAAATTTTGTGAGAAAATACTGTAGTAAACCTACGAAACAAACGCATGACTAAGTAAACCATAAGAGAAAATCACAAACTTTGAAGAGAGTCACTTACTTCAGTAACGTCTTTTGCTATAAAGGACTTCTCAACTGCCATACTTTTCTCTAAGATATTTCTGCAACCAAAAGAATGTTAAGTCAACATTTGAAGATCAAATATGAAATAGTAAACTAAACTGATCTTCATTACTAATAATATAATAAACTCTCAGTTAAAAAACAAATCATTTTATTTTTCTTAACAAATTGTATTGAATAGCATCACATAAGATGACTTTTATCGGTTCAACGTCATCGTTTTGGCTCTAGAAAATCCCAAAAGAAATCAGTTGAAGAGAACCAAGAGATCATAGCCATTTTTTTAAAAGTTTTTTTTTTTTTTTAAGTACTAGTGAAATAAGAAGAATAATGCTAGAGACACTAACTCAAATTTTTATTCTTGTGTACCAATTAATTTGACATATGAGTTATCATTTTTTTATTAGTGGGTATTTAAAATATTGTCACGTCAATTAATGAAAATGATTGCGTCTACCAATAAAAAGATAACAACTCACGTACTACATTTATTAGTATACAAAAATTAAAATTTGAGTTAGTGTCTATAGCATTACTCAAATAAGAATAGATACAACTAATTACAAGTGAAACTAACAATTAAAAAGTGCAATATTGTGAAGAATCTAAAGAGAGAGCGAGAGAAAACACCTTCAGTGATTTATAAACTCTATTCTCCGCGTCACAAAATGAAAATGACAATCTGTTTGAGCAAATCAAGCTATGCACCTTCAATAGGCAAATCATATGTATATATATATATATACACAAAAATGCATGACGTCATAATTAACAATTTCTCTTTCTTTTACGTATTTTCGTTTTCAATGATGCAGTTATCTCTCAAGCATGTCTGGCCAATAATGGGTTGTATCTAACCTGGATTTATGTTTTGATTCTCATATATAGAAAAAATACATAGAATAATGGTTTTTCATGGATTATATGGTCTAAAATTTGGACTCTAATTTGACTGAATACGGATTGGAACAAAACTCAGAAAAAATTTAAACTCGAATTATAACTTTATTCAAGTTTATGTTCTTTTGTAAAATTTGAGTTTAAACTCGAGTTTGAGGCTAAACTCGAGTTCAAGTTTTTCCTTCAACTCGAGTTTAGAAACTCAAACTCAAATTAATGAACAGTATTTTTTCTATTTTTAAAAATGTCATAATTTTTTCGTTTTAATTATGATTGAGATGATTTTTTTTTCTATGCATTCACAATGAAAAGACGAATAAAACCCCACCCATATATCTTATTAAAATTTTTCATCACCATTGAATTTTTATTAAAATACTATCTAAATATAAATTTAAATTTTGACTCACCTAAACACATGATCAGATGCACAACTAAAACCAAACTTTGCAAGACAATGGGCAAAGTTAATCCCAAATCCATTTCTTTCAAATGCACCCTTGTATTATTCAATTCAATATTAAATTTTGTATTAATTATATAAAACTACAGATGGATTTAAAAAGAAACTGTCAAATTCTGAAATTTTATTCTCATCATTATATTGTATTAAAAGGAAGATTTGCACAACACGTCACCAATGATACTACATTTCGTTGATTCGAGTTTAGAATTTAAGTTTTGTTACAGTAAAAAGCTCTCAGAAACAATCACATCTAATTTTTTTGTTACAGTAAAAAGCTCTCACACAACATCACATCTCAACTCGAATTAGCAAACCGAACGGGCTCTAACTTTTTCATCTTCAATAAAAACCGACTTTGAATTCAAAATGTTCGAGGTGGAATGTCATATTCGGTTTGGCTTCAGGTGTTCACACTAAGGAAGGAGTCAGGGACGTCACCTTTCTGCGTTTATTGATATAATAATTTTTACCTATATTTTAAGGTTTCTCTTCGGTGTGTTTCTCGAAGAACTAATCTTAAAATATAAGTAGTGTGGTTTTCATGATTACTTTGATCCGTTTAGTTTATTGATTCGAATTAAAATGTAACTTTATATGAGAATTTTTTATTGTAGTAAAAAAATCCGTTTAGTTTATTGATTCGAATTAAAATGTAACTTTATATGAGAATTTTTTACTGTAGTAAAAAAATTAGATAAAACTGTTTCTGAGAGTTTTTTACTATAACAAAACTCGAATCGGTGAAATGAATGGAGCCTTCATTATTTCTCTATTAATGAGCATTATTATTTTAATTATAAAATATTAATTTAACAATTGTATTAAATTAAATAATTAATTAAAAAAATATGTAACAATGAGATTAGGGGACATTTAGAAAAGGGATTCGTGCCATGATTCGAATCATTGTTCGTAACTCGTTATAATATTTTTTCTTATAAAAAACACACGTAAAGCGAGAATGGTTCTGAATCTATGAACTAAACGTCATTTAGATAACTCGTCCGATATAATTACATATGTAATGATTTTAAATTATAATACTATTTATTTTATTTTACATATGTAATAATGAGATTAAAATACTGTGAATCTGGTGCACTCTCTCAATAGTAATGATTCTAACTCCTATGCTGATGATTGTTTTGTTTTTAAGGATATACAGATGTTCTTGGCTGCTAATGGTGGTCTTTGCCATCATATTCCTCGTTCTGGAAATACGGTGGTCCACTTGTTGACAAATTCTATATTTAACGGTGGTGTTTGGATACTGAGACTGTCCCGTTACAAATTTTAATTGATTTGGCTATTTAATTCCATTTATAGTTTCCCGTTCAAAAAATAAATAAATTTTTTATCCGTATATTTAAAAAAAAAAAACATCATCATATAAAATAAACATTATGTTACACCCTTAATTTTACATGTTTATAATCATCATAATCCAAAGAAATGGGCAAACTCAACAAAATTAGAATTTAATAAAGTTTTTATTAGTAAATCTAAGCATCTTCACCAAATAATTCGAAACAAATAAAAAGAAACAAAATATGGGGTACTAATATGATAATATCCCTTATAATAAATAAAACAACCAATTCAAGAAGAAGAAGAAAAATGTTGAAATTATTAGTCATGTAGATTTCCTTTTGCATTTCTCCTGATCAGCAAGAAATAAATATATTCGATTTTTTGAAAAAAAAACCATCTACCTCCAGTATAGATTACTCTAATTAATATGATATTAATGGTATGTGCACCTATTGATGTTGATTTTCGCCTGCGTAGATTCTTCAGGATCTACAAGAGCATATCGAATAAGAAAGGACACAAAAATGATGAATTTAAATATGTTATCTCCATTAAATTGAGATTTGAGTGAACCAATATCGTATCCACAAATATTGAAATCTAAGTGTATGTATATATTTACTTGTTATGATTATGGGTGTTCACGGATGGATTATAAGTCAATTCAGAATTCAAGGATTAGAAAAATCTCAATTTGTTAGCAATTTATGAGACCCCCAATCTAATCTAATCCAATCAGAATTCTTCAGATTCACGGATTAATTTATGTTTTCAACATTCTCATAAAACTAAATACAATATTAAACACAAACATAACATAAAATATTAAATAATTTAACAAAATTTAATTCATTACAACACAAAGTCCAACATAAAAGTAATTTAAAAAGTAGAAATTAATCCCATCACAACAAACAAACTTCAATAAGTAAAGTCCTTATCACCAACATTAATTTTAAATATATATACAATTAAAAAAACTTATATATATACGTTATTAAAAAATATATAAAAATGATGTGTATTATTGAAAAATATATAATATATATAATTTAGATTGGCGGATTATGTAAATTGAGAAACGCTTAATCCTTAATCCAATTCGTTAATGCGGAATTGAGAAAATCTCAAACCGTTACTAATCCAATATTCTTTTGATCCAATCCAATCCACTAGATTGAATTGGATTATGTGAATTGGACGGTTTGGCAGATTCAATGAACACTTCCCAGTTATGATAGTACTAAAACTACAAAAATAAATAAAAAGAAAAAGCGTACGGAAAAGAAAAATCTTTACCCCGAGGGGTGATGGGTTAGATAGAGTGGTTGTGGGCTTCTCCTTAGGTCCCGTTCATTTCACCGATTCGAATTTAAAATTTGAGTTTTGTTACAGTAAAAAGCTCTCAGAAATGGTCACATCTAATTTTTTTACTACAGTAAAAAATTCTTATATAAAGTCACATTTTAACTCAAATAAGCGAATTAAACAAATCCTTAGACTCTCACTAAGGGAGAGATTCAAAGTTCAAGCCCGTGTTCTTCCAATCTTAAAAGGTGCTTATTGATAAATAAATAAATAAAAGAAAGAGAGAGATCATTATTTCAAAAGGAAGGATCGCCCAAGTTTAAGAGGAAAAAGAAAAGGAGGTAAAAAAAATAGAGTTCTAAAAAAGCCATAAATGTTAAGGGATTTTAGCACAAATAGTCTTTTTTTAAGGGTGTTTTTCATAAATTGTCAAAGTTTTGTAAAATTATAAACATGGCTGCTTTCATTAGCTTAGTGGTCAATCATTGATTGATTGTAGACTTAACGATCAATTATTATTGACTCTAGTTTATCACTAATTAACTTGATTATTCTTTATTATTAATAATATTAATTAATAATTAATCAAAATCAATTAGTAATTAATTAATTTCAATCAACAAATTACATATTTATTATTGATAAATCATTGATAAATTAATAATGAATCGGTCAATCATGATTGACCGTTGGTCAGTCACTGATTGACTGTGGTCCATATGTCAGCTCATGTAAAAAAAAAAAAGCTGTCATTTTCGTAAAATAAAAAAAGTTCGGCCATTTATGAAAAGAGGTGGTTAAAAAAGACCAACTAACACAATTTCCCAAATGTTAATCCAAGTAAATTAATTATTAATCCAGTGAACATATTATCAATCATTTTGATTGATTCATGTATTTCTATAATAATAATAATTAATATATAAATAAATAAATAATAAATACGTAAATATTTTCGTAAATAGGATTCTGAACTCATCATTTTTTCTAAAAATTACCCTAGTACAAACAGGGCATGTTAAAACCCATCAACAAACCAAACAACAACAAAATCACAAAACATTACTGGAAAACCTTATCCTCTCTAACACCACACAACCGCATTGCTCCCACAAGAAGACTTTGGCCTTCCATTTGGTTCCCCACACCACAATGGCGACCCTTCACTTCACTCCATCGCCTTCCTTCTCTCTCACCAGACAAAGACACCCCACCAAGCTCTTCTCCGCCTCTCGGCTGAACCTCCGGCGACGCCGGTCCCTGACCGTCCGATCATACAAAGTGGTGATTGAACACGAGGGTCAATCCACAGAGCTTGAGGTTGACCCTGATGAGACCATATTGTCCAAGGCACTGGACTCTGGCCTTTCTGTTCCTCATGACTGCAAGCTTGGCGTGTGCATGACTTGCCCGGCTAAGCTCTTGAGCGGCTCGGTTGATCAGAGCGACGGCATGCTCAGCGATGACGTGGTGGAGCGCGGATACGCACTGTTGTGCGCAGCCTATCCGCAGTCAGATTGCGAGATTAGGACCATCCCGGAGGATGAGCTGCTTTCATTGCAGTTAGCAACGGCTAACGACTAAGTTTTTGGTTTTTGGTTTTTGGTAATTGGGGTTGTGTTTTTTGTTAAGTGGAGTTAGTCTTGCTTCATTGGCTATAACTAGTATGGCTTGGTGCTGATATGTTCGGAATTTGTGTAATCATGTTGTTTGAAAGATTGTCGACAGAGATCATAAGCAGATGACCTAGAAGTTTTATGCATTCCGTGCCAAAGTTTCTTTCACGAATGTTAATTGTCACACAGAATAATTTGTCAATAATTGATTTCCATTGAACACAATAATTGATTTGCATTGAACACATAACATATTTCAAATGCAAAGAAGAAACTAGATTACACAAAATAATTAGTGTTATAAGAGATCTAACAGGCTGGTTTTATTCACTTAATTGTGGAACAAAGCTAGATGATCTTCTGACAAACATCCACCCGCTATAATGAGAACAGTAGTTCTTTTTAGGGTACTTCATATTCAGAGGAAAACATCTTTTCAGGCCATATATCGGGGACCCGATTTCTTCTGTCTTCGTTGCTTAATCTTCACCTTCATGTTGATTCCATTATCAATGATGGACTGAAGCACAACCTGAAGCTTGCCCTCCAATCTTTCCCCTTTTCTTGGTGTGTAGACCACATCATGAATGTCATCAGCCAAGGCTCTCTGAGCCAGAACCGAGCCCACAGCCTCACAAGCTGCTAAATTTCTAGTCGAAGCCAGGTCAAACTTCATGTCCTTTGAGATCGAATGCGCCACAGCCACAACCTTGCTCGTTACTCGGTGAACAATGCAGGCACGGACAGAAGCTTTTGATATGTAAATGTCCAAGCAGAATGGTTCATGGTAAGGACCAGTAAGCTGATTAAAAGTGGGAGTCCTCAGCTTCTTCTTCCCAACAGAAGAACTGTCCGTTTTGCCTAATGGAGACATCAAACCACATTTTTCATTCGCGACTTTAGGGAGTTTTTCACCTGTGGAGGCTGCAGTAACAGAGGGGCTGTCCCTTTTTGCTTCATTTGAATCATTCTGCTTCCTCTTGCTTTCCTCAGGATCATTCTTTTTTTGGGAAGGTTTCTTCCTGCGATGAAAGTCGAAGCTGTACTCTTCATACTCCTTGGAATCGCGGTCAATCTTGTAGAAAAGGTTGCCATGAATTCTCATATTATCAATGTCATCAAAATCCGGGTCTCCCTTACCCAGTTGAGAACCATTATTATCGACTGAATCAGCAATCTCTTTCTTCAACAAAGAACTCGTTTCTTCGCGCCACGCTTGAGCCAAACCGGATGAAAGTTGCCAAGCATCATTGTCCACCAACTCAATATCATAACCACTCAAATGAGAAGGTTTAGCATCAGGGAACAGTGGAGAAAGATGAAGGTTACTAGAATAATTAGTAACAGAATCATTTTCCTTATCGAAAACTGATGACGGAATGGCTTTCGAGCAAAAACCGCAATAACTTGACTGGAAATGGGGTTTCACTTTCAATGCAAAACTGATCCCTCTCCTTAAGAACATCATTAAGACAGAGTGATCACACCACCAAAATAAGCAAGTAAACTGGAGAAGAATTAGATCAAGTTTCAATAATGCTAAACTGTTTCAGTTTGAGAAAGAACTTCTCTTGGCCAAATCGTCAAACATTTTGTATGCAAAATTCACTTTCTGTCACTTCTCATGTTCAAGCTTACACAAATTTAAGTTCAAAGTCGCTAACAATAATACCTTCTGGATTACTTCGTTATACCTATTTCCCAACTCTGTGGAAGTCTTTTGAAACCCAACTTCACTCGAGTAAAAATGCGAATACGTGCCTTTTAGAGAGAGAGGGGGAGAGAGAGAGAGAGAGAGCCCTTTTCGCCAACCAACGCTAGAAGACGATATTAAGACGCTCCACCGCTTACTTGTCGTTTTGTTTCATTGTCGTATGTCCACCTCGTTCGTTATTGTTGAAATATTGGGTTTATTGTAATTTATGATTACGATTCTTTCCTTTTAGGGAGTCTTTGGGCCTGTTTGTTTGCGTTTTTATTTTCGTTTTTCACGGTTTTCAAAGCAAAAAAATGAAAACGGATGTTAAAAACGTGTTTGGTGCAATTTTTTTTAAAAAACAAAACCAAAAACGTTTTTGTCTTTTTGTGGAAATCAGAAAACGAAAAAAAGGTGTTTTCATTTTCTCATTTTCGTTTTCTATTTTTTGAAAAACAGATTTCACTTTTTTTTTTTTTTTCATTTTCTTCCCTCTTTTCTGAAACCGTTTTTGTATTATATATGTTTATTTAATATATTTATTTAATATATTATTATTTAATATATTATTACATGTTTTCAAAAATTAAACCACCAAACGCAGTTTCAGTTTTTTTTTAAACTGAAATCAATCTCTAAATAAAACTACCAAACGCATTTTTAGAAATAATTCAAAAATGAAACTAAAAACGTTTTCATTTTCATTTTCGTACAGAAAATAAAAACGTTTTGGAATCAATTCCAAACGCACCCTTTAAGGTGCAATCTCATTTTTACTCTATCGGTAGAGTACAAATTTTGACTGTTAAATTAATTTTTTAACGGTTAAATTTACAATAAGAATAATTTTATGTAGTACACTTTAAATTTTTAATACAGATTTATACAGATCTAATTATTAAAAAATTAATTTAACAGTTAAAAATATAGTGATCCATTGATGGAACAAAAATGGAGCTTGCATCCTACAATTTGCCTTGCTTTTATAATGTGGCCTAGTTATAGAAAAATATACAGCTCCTAGACAGCCTATATTGATTTATGTATTTAAGGACTCACCCTATTTATACTCAAAAATTCATTATAAATTATAAGTGAATAAATGAATGAATAAGTGAGTATAATTCTGATTTGTGACGTAGACGAATTGTGTAATTTTGTATTCTTCTCTTTTATCTTTTGTTTTCTTTGTATTTTTATTTTCAAGTGTTATGTGGTCAAAGTATGTTATGTTTCATTCTAGGACTCCTCCTAAACACAATACTCTAATTAATATTTTTGCAGGAGAAAGAGAGAAATAGGCCAAGATTTGAGATAAATTAAAATTAATAGGCCAATAGTTTACATAAGTTAATAAATAGATAAAATTACTGTTTTCGTCCATAACTTATCTGGTTATGAACCATAACTTGACAAGTTATTGTCCATAAATCACGGTTTTTGTCCATAATTTGTCTGGCTATAAACCATAACTTGACAAGTTTGTCCATAACTTATCTAGTTATGAACCATAACTTGACAAGTTATGGTCTATTAATTTCTATAACTAAAAGTTAGCCTATATACTTCCTTATGCTTTTCATATTGGCATATTTTTTATTATTTACGTAATTTTTTTTAATCAAAGCACTTTAAGTCTATCTTTTTCTTTATAAAGTTCAATCATCTCCTGCTCATTTCAATTTATCCATCATGGAGGCAGACGAATTTTCAAATCGTAATATGTACTCCTTAGAGAAGATAGATAGCATACGATTGTTAATCAATCAATAGCTTGATGGCAACTTTTTTTTTCCTTTTTTAGAAGAACCCTAAATCTTTTTCAAGTATATAATATATACCTACACAGATATTTCATACTTATCAGTCTTTAAATCTGTATTAAATCTTGTCAAAAATTAAATCAGAGCGACAGATTATTAGGTACGTCATAACTTACGTCTCAAAGAAATTGAGAGAAAAATACAGACAATTCTCAGAGAGAATTTTTACACAAGTATTTTTGGTCTTAAAACGTTTATTCATCGACTGATTGATTCCTTAATACATCACCTATTTATAATAGGAATACAAGGCTAAACTAGGAAATACAACATAAACATAATCATAACAAGAAAATTAAACAATACTAAAGATGACAATCAAGTCGGCTGGGATCCGGTTGAGTTGTTGTATATAATGAGTGAGTGAGGGTGAGTTAGAATCCATGTGTGAGTTAGGACTGAGTTGTAGGCTGGGATCTGGTTGAGTTGTTGTATATGAAGGGTTGAGTTGTTGTATATGAAGGGTGAGTTAGAATCCATATGTGAGTTGGGACTGAGTTGTTGGCTGGGATCCGGTTGAGTTGTTGTATATGATGGGCGAGTGATGGATGAGTTGGAATCCATATGTGAGTTGGGACTGAATTGTTAGGTAGGACCTTTGCTGCATTACATATTAAAAATGTAATACAGATTCGAATACAGATTCGAACACCGACGTTTCTAAAAACAGAGCAAACAACATAGGGGCTCAGAAAAAGCAACTCAAGTTATAATTTTATTTAAATTTAAACTTGAGTTTGGGATTAAAACTCAAGTTTAAGTTTTCTCTTCAACTCGAATTCAGAAACTCGAACTCAAATTAATAAATAATATTTTTTCTATTCTTAAAAATGTTATAATTTTTTCATTTTAATTCTGATTGAGATGATTTTTTTTCTATGCGTTGACATCGAAAAGACGAATAAAACCCCACCCATATACCCTATTAAAATTTTTCATCAACATTGAGTTTTTATTAAAATACTATCTAAATACAAATTCAAGTTTTGACTCACTTAAACACAAACTCAAAAAGATTCTTATCTCAAACCATAACTTAAATGTACACAACAAAACACAAACTCAAGTTATAATTTTAACTCAAACTCAACTCAAAATCTACACTCAAGTCACCTAATTCAAAAAGCGCAAAAGAACAGCCCATGAAATTCCATATATCAATGTGAAGAAGGAAAACGACACGCAAAAAAAGAGTGGGCCATTTGGTAAAGAAGGAAAACGATAAGAATTGCCCATTTGGTAAAGAAGGAAAACGACACACTAGGAAAAAAATGGAGATGCGGGGTATCGATCCCCGTACCTCTCGCATGCTAAGCGAGCGCTCTACCATCTGAGCTACATCCCCACACGTTAGCCAAATTTATTTATTTTAACATTATCAAAACAGTTATTCTTCAAACAGCATCTACAATTATTTGAATCTGACATTCGACAAATATTTGTCGTTCCCTCAATTTTGGCAAAACTTTTGCCCTGAAGCTACTTCTTCTTCTTCTTCTTCCAGTTTTTGTCGTTTGGTTCATTTCTTGTCGTTTCCTTTAATTTAGCTCTAAGACGTTGCTCATCTAACAGACAACTCAAGAATCATAACACACACACACAGAGCTCAAGTTTCGATGAACATAAGTTTACACTTGGCGGACTTCTGGCATCCAATAACAAAAATTTAATCATTCATTTTATAATAGGATAATAATCAAAACTTAATAGAGTATATACTTCCCTTTGATCTTTACCTACTGTTCAGTACTTGTCTTTAATTTTCTTGTTCGTTTTATTTATGCCTTGTTTTGTTCACTCTAGTAGTATAACCAATCTGCATAAAGTAAAACTATCTGGACTGGAATCTTAAAGTACAGATCTTCTATTTGCACATTACGCCATAAAATTAATTTTGCAACATGAAAATAGATTGTTTCCCGGATGTCTTGACAATTATTGTCGATGGTGGATTATAATCAACAAGGAATTACTAACTTTCTGAGAATGTTTGCACTAATCACTCACGTATTAACTAAGAATTAACGGTGTTGAATAAGTAAATGAGACAAGAGTTTATAGTGGTTCGGCTAAAATTCTTTACCTAATCCACTTGTGCATACACTAATATGTTGTAGATTACAAGCTCTCTAGAGTAGTATTTTTGTGTGTCTAAAAAACTTAATGAACTTTTATGGATCTATTTATAAGCCTTATACATGTGAGAAACCCCCTGCACTTCCCGAGAAAATCAACATCTATCCCTTAATTTGGGGATTTGGTAGCTGAATTTTCCTGATTGTTGCTTCCCGGTCAGGTTAACCACTCTTTACCCAATGTCTGATTTCCCGACTCCAACAGTGGCAGTAGGTGATGCAGCGTATCTTCCCCAGGACTGACAGCGGATTTGACCGGGCTGATGTCTCGAGGTCCTCACCACATGGGCTGGGCCCTCGACACGCGTCAGTGCACGTGACTTCTCGATGTCTAAAGGGCACTCTGGACACACTGGTTCTCTCAACGTCAGCGACCAGTCCTTAACGGGGAATTCTCGACGCTTGTCACCCAAAGAAACGGTCGATCCCTAGACCGTGGCGTAACAATTATCATGTTTGCAAAATCAATGAACGGAGAGTAACCGGCTTATTGTTAAGGATTAGACGCTCTAATTTTTCACAGAGTAATAATTTCGCAGAAAAGCAAACAATCATGAAACGGGATATAGATCATAGAGGCTATGACAATCCGGCTTCTGCATTAGGACAAACTACTCTGCAACAATTGATGGATATATTTAAAAATATTTAGTTGCTTAATAGGAAAAAAAAAAAAAAAAAAAAACACTTAGAAACAAGGTCCGTTTGGTCTTTTACTTTGCATAGTCATCATTCTGTTCAAACTCAAAGGAAACTCAGGGGACCAAAAATAAATAAATGAAGGAAATAACAATTAACCACAACTTGACAACAGAGCACTGGATCTTATATCATGTAAAGGAGTCGCTTTAGTTTCTCCTACGACCCAATAAAATCACCATTAGTTTATATGGGCAGAGCATAAACTTTCATATCCTACAAATTTTTTTTTTTTGGCTAATAAGAACACATTCGACAATCATTTCAACGAGTATCGCATTCTACAAAAGCATCACAAGTTTTCAACAACAATTTAAAATTAACGGGGA